TATGCTTATTACTTTCTATCTATCAACGGTCAATATTTAATTTAATTTTAATATTTAATGTTTAATATAAAAATTAATGTTCAATATTAAATTTTATATAATTCAATAAAATGAAGATAAAACGTAAAAATTCTCAAACAACTGAATTTTGGCCTTTCATTAAAAAATTTATAACTTCGCCATTTATCCATGGATTTTTATTAACAGCAGCTTATTTTTTTCCCAGAAAAATTTATAAATTTTCTACCTCGATTTTTGTAAAAAAAGGACTTTTTCAACTTAATAAAATCGCTAGCATCGAACTACTGGACCGATACTAAAACTATATAAAAAAGTTATAGAGGGCTTGATTTAATCGATCAATTAGAACTCGAAGTATACTTTAAAACGTCAAAACACCTTAGAAAATTTAAAAAAACAATTAAAAATTCATATCTCGAAAACGCTTCAATGAAAAAAAATTGAAATTGAAAAATGATACTGAGACATAAAAACACACATTAAAAACTTTATTTCAGTCATATGAAATAATCTTAATTGCCAAAGGAACTATTTTTCTAATACATTAAAGTTTCAATACTTATTATTAAAATAATGAGTAATGAGTTTAATTTTCATTAAGTAAGAAGTAATCTTTTTTAATGAAAATTAAATTAATTTTCATTACATTTTTTCCAACGAGTAATGTATTCTTTTTAACAGTACTTAATTTGTAAGGAGTAATTTAAGATTTTCAAATAATTTTTTTTTATGTAAATGAGTAATATACTCACTTTACATTATTAATTTTTAATTTTTAAAGAGAAATGAATAATTATTGAATAACTCATTTTTGGTGGGAAAGGAAGATATTTTTATTGCATGAATTTTTCAATTTTTGCATGGTTTGCAATAGATAGAAGTGTAATTGATCTTTTACAAAAAGCATGGACTTTGTGAGCAGAAATAATTTATTTAGTTATTTAAAAGTAATTAATTTTATTACAAACAATTGTTTTTTTTATTTTAATAGTTACCTTTATTGAAGGAAGAGATAAAATTTTATAAAAATTACTAAAAACCAAAAACATTAAGTATGTTCAAGTATATTGATGTTTCAAGAAAATGTTTACGAAGACCGGAATCATAGGGATTAAAAAAAATATTTTCTTAATGAAGTCAAAAAAATTTGTCTAACCCAAGAAAAGTATTTTGCTTTAATCAAAGTCCATTTATTTATATTTTCTTGATTCAACTCAATTTTTTATTTATTTTTTTCATGATCTGATCTTTAAACAAGTTAATAATCATGCTGATAAAAATGATATATTTCGCAGATTTTTATTTTGGCGGGAGTAAATTCTCGTGTTTCAAGAAAATTCAGTCTGTGCTCCAAAAATTGTTTAACTTGGCGGGAGTAAATTCTCTTTTCATTACGGTTTTTGGTCATGAAAATTCGTTGTGTTTGTTATTTTGGGGTTCTGCCAGGGAAAAATAATTTAAAAACCCTGTTTTAAAAAAGAATTAAATTGTGATTAATGACCAGCTTTTGCTAAGCTCACTGTTCTTTTAATTAGAGACAATGAGTTTCAGATACATTTTCGCATGAATCCTCATACCTTCGAACACCTACTACAAAAACTGTATCATACTGCTATTGTTAACAATATAAATATTGGCCATACTAAATCAGGTTATCCACGAACAGAATTAGAAAAAGAAGTCATGATAACTGTTTGGTACTTAGGAAATCTGGAGTCCTTTAGGTACGTAAATATGCTGATGTTGATCAAAGTTAATAGTTCAATGCTTTTTCCTAGATCAGTAGCAAATAGATTTGGAGTGACCAAGTCCACTTGCTGGAATATTTTGACCCGTACAACCCAACTTCTATTGCAGACGAATCGTCAGTACAATGTTATTCGAAGGATAGACCACTGATTTTTTTAAATTAAAAATCGGTTACGAATTAACGGCTAAAGATAACAATAACAAGGGTATTTCTTATTGATAAGCACTGATTAAGCAGATTTTCTTATTAATAATGACTGATAAGGAAAAAATCACAACACTACTTCCACATAATTTTAAATTTTAAAAAATCAGTGGCAAATACAATCTGAAATCTTCAATCGATTTAAGAGGAATGATTTTACTGGTTAATTTGTACAAGTGTGTAACAGTAACACCATTTGTAGGAGTAATTGGTTGCATGAATGGGTTTTTCATTGAAACTGTGGCTTCTGGAGAAAATCACAATTCTTACATTAACCGGAAGAATTACCATTCTTTATTACTTCAGGGTGTTTGTGATTGACTATACCTTGTACCAAAGGTCAGACCTTCAAGATGGGTCAATTATATTTAATAACAACACCCATTTACTTGGTGATTTACCCACAAATTGCCAATTTAGTCTTCGAAATCTACCCTTTAACAGGGCAAATGCAATTTTTTTTATTTTGACTCTTATTTTGCTTAAAATACAATCCTTAATGTTAAAGCCTACCAGCAAATATTCATCCAATTTGAAATAGTGTGTGTGTGTATGTGTGTGTGTGTGTGTAATACCACCGTTTTTTGCTTCTTACACTCCCAAGATATAGCTCCCCCTGAAATCTTGAAAACAAAACCAGTATATGATTTTCTGTCAATTTCAGTACTAGCAAAATCTGCATCAACAAAACCCATTAAATCATTACTTTTATCTTTTTGATACTTTAAATTAAAACTTTTAGTCCCTTGTAAATATCTTAGGATTCTTTTAGCACATTTCCAATGTTGCACTGTATAACAATTATTAAATTGACTCAAAAAATTAACTGCAAAAGTAATGTCAGGTCTTGTTAATACATGAGACAACCTAAAAGTTGTTGATAAGGTAATTCTTTTATACAAATATTAGAATCTGACCTAACAAAACAAAAATTATTTTCTATAGGTGTACTTACAGGCTTACAATCAAGCATGTTAAACCTTTCTAGAACCTGATTGATATACTGTTCTTGATCTAACAGAATTTCACTTTTATTTTCATTCATTCTAACTCTCATGCCTAACACTGTTAAATCTTGCCTAAATCTTTAATCTTAAATTTTTTAGATAAATTTTCTTTTACAAAATTTATTTCTTGCATAGAGTTAGAAAATATGAAAAAATCATCCACGTAAAGTGCGATAAAGGTAATTAAACTATCTACACGCTTTATAAACAAACATGGCTTATAATCACATTTTTTAAATTTTAAGCTCATTAGAACAATCTCAACCTCTTTATACCATACTCGTGCAGATTGTTTTAAACCAGAGATAGCTCTTTTAAGTTTTAATACACTTGTTTGCTAGGTATTTTACTGCCAAAACATTCTGGCACTTCCATGAATACCTCCTCCTCCAGCTTGCCATTCAAAAAAGCAGTTACAACATCTAAATGAAAAATTTCTAAATTAAGTTGTATAGATAATGCTAATAATAACCTTAGTGTTGAATGTCCAACTACTGGGGAAAAAGTTTCATCGTAGTCAATACCTTGTCGTTGGCTGAAACCTTTAGCGACTACCCTAGCCCTATAAGTAATGCTATTGTCACTATTTAACTTAGTTTTAAAAACCCACTTACACTTTACGGGCGTATGACCCTCCGGAAGGTCAACAACATGATAGCCAGCCTAACAATATGCGAGCAAAATACAAAAGCGGTTGTGGTTCTACACAACTTTGTCCAAAAGGAGGAAGAGGCCCGGATCAACGACGCTACTGCCCAACCGGATACATAGAATATGAAGACGACGAAGGGAATGTTATACCCGGAAGAAGGTCCTATCTTAAGACAGGTATCTCATATGGGCTCCAACAATTCGTCCAATGCTGTGAAACAAATGCGGGCTGACTATTTCGATTTCAACATGGGCTCTGTGCCTTGGCAGGAGAATTTCATCATGACAGGGGCTTTACCTACATAATGTGAATCATTTGCTCGATAATATTTGATTAAATTGTACACAATAGTTGTAATGTAATGTAAAATAAAATTGTATGTAAAATTAAGGTATTATTTACTTTGGTTGTACGGTTTAAGTATTTTATGAATATGTCAGCCCTGATTTGTTTTGTTTGACCGGACGAGCGAAAGCCGGTCCTGGCAGGCTCTGGAGGTAGTAGTGATGGGTCCAACCCGCACATTCTTGTGTGCTAGCACACGTTGCACAGCACACTTCAGTGTGCGGCACTGTGCGTGTCGTACATTTGTGCGGGGTGGGGGAAAATGATTCAAATTGAGAATTTCGCTCGTTGCACAGCTCAACACACTGTGCGTGTCGTATCCAACTGGCGGTTTTGGATTTTTAATTGATTTAAAATCCAGTTTTATGTTTTTTATGTTTATTATTAAACTCGATAAATACAATTTTAACTTAAACCCTTTTTTGATAAGTGATAATTTTATTTTAATATAATTATAATATAGACTGTGTTGCCATATATGGACATTACGATACATTATGGATTGGATATTTTCCAAGATATACAAACTGTTATATAAAATAATTTCTCTACAACTTGTAACCTATTAATACATTGTATAATATACAATAAATTTATTGTCATAGGTATGAGGAGAAATTATTTTTATATAATTGATAGTAACTAAACCATAATGTATGTTCATAGATGGCAATACAGTCGATTATTGATATGAATTTATTTGATATATCCTATATTATTTTCCACTATTAATTCTTTTACAATTTTAAAAGATTTAATATTGGTGTGATTAGTAACGATTTATTTAAGTTTTAATTTCTGTGTTTTATAATTTCGCGAAAAATGACCAATAGAATGGGAAAAAAAACCAGCCCGTTGTGGTCTTATTTTACTGAGGCGGACGAAAATTTAAAAGTAAAGTGTAATTTTTGCTCTCAGTTTTTGTCAATTAAGGGAGATTCCACTTAACTTATCAAGGAATCTTAAAAATAAACATTTCCATGCGTATAATTCTCTAAAAGAGACAGCAGGAGATGCGCCAATGGAAGATGATTCGCCCGAAGCAAGCATTGTTGAAGTGGACAAGTCTTTCTCAGTTTCACAACCAATGCCAAGTACCTCTTCACAATCAGAGACAAGTACGTCTTCAGCTTCACAATCAGTGCCAAGTACGTCTTCAAGTGTTATATATGTGCCTTTATCGCGTCGTTTCAAATCAAAACGTTCATTTCCCGTGTCCTCTTATTTTCACAAATCTATAAGTGCTAAAAAACGTGATGATATTCACAAATTACTTGTAAGCGCTATAGTAAAAAATTATTTAGCTTTTCAAATTGTTGAAAGTAAAGAGTTCAAAACATTACTGTCTGCTTTAAATCCAGCTTACGAACTTCCATCCCGAAAAACAGTTTCTAAAGTACTGATTCCTCAAATTTACCAAATGAAGCAAGAGGAAGTCTTTTAATCTTTAAAAGCAAGTAAAGCTGTCTGTTTAGACAATAGACAGTTGGACTTCTATATCAAATGAAAGTTATGTATCTGTAACAGCCCATTTTATAGATTCAGACATAACTTTTAAATGCTATCTTTGGGACTGTTTAAATTATAGCGAAAGCCATTCGGCCGATAAATTGGCAACTCTTTTGCGGTCTGTTGCTGAAGAATGTAAAATTGGAAATAAAATTGAAGCTGTAGTTACAGATAATGCAGCAAATGTAGTGTAATGCTTTGGAGCAAATTAAAACAGTCCAAGTAAAAGTCAAACATATTGTAGAGCATTTTAAAGGCAGTCCCAAAGCAACTACGTTACTTAAATCAATGCAAAAACAAATGGGACTACCAATTTTAGGTTTAAAGCAAGACGTCATTACACGTTGGAACTCGACTTGTTTTATAGAATTTTGGAAACTAAAGACGCGCTTTTATCTACAATAGCGATACATTACCCAAATGTAGATACGCTCACTAGTGATGATATTGTTACTTTGCAAAAGTGCTACGAAGTTTTAAACGTTTTTTTAAAAATATCACAGAAGAAATTAGCAGCGAAACACAAGTAACTGCATCTAAGATAATATTAATTAGTTTTTAATTAATTTTTGTAAAAGCGACGTTTCTGGACCCTAGGTTCAAAAAACATGGCTATACAAATTCTTCAAATTTCGATGTTGCTAAGAACAATATCACTAGATACCTAACGAATTTTAATGAAGAAGACACGCAGACTGAAAACGCAGCAAAAACAATAGAAGAGTCCAAAACCTCAGAGCCAACACAAAAGTGTTTATCAAAAATATGGGAGAGTTTTGATCAAAAGGTTTCTAATCTCATTGGCACTACTAATCCAAAAAGTTGCTAGCATGATCGAAATTGACAAGTATCTCCAGGAACCGCTTCTACAGCGAACAGAAAACCGTTAAAATGGTATCAGGAACGAAAATCAATTTATCCTCGCCTGTATTGTTGCGACATCAGTTCCCAGCGACCGAATTTTTTCTAGAGCGGGACAGAAAGTTACGGACAGACGAAACAGACTTAGCGGTGAAAAAGTTAGACAACTTGTATTTTTGAATGTTAATTTGAATTAAATTTATAATAACTAGATTAGTTTTATTTTAGTTTGAAAATGTTTTTTTCTTGTTACACAATTTTTTATTTGTGTTTTAAAATGTTAATTTGTTGAAAATAAATTTTATTTTATTTTTGTATTAATTGGTGTACCTATACCTACGTTTTAAAAGAAAAGCGTTATTTATAAACTTTCAGTTGGCGTTGAAGGTAAAACGATTAATTGAAAATACATGCATTTACAAGTATTTATAAAGCGCTTTATAAATGCATGCATCTATTTTCAATGGTTTAATGCCAACGTAAACCAAAATCACAGTATATACATCACCATGTATATATAATAATTTGAGCTTAGAATATTATCCGGTAATGACAATCTATCAGTAAATGTTACATTCTAAGTGCAGTCTACCCGAACTCTATTGTAGTGCCATCTATGTGTTCTGTTCTGAATCATAGAGTCAAAGCCACAGACGTAAAGATTATTTACTAAAGAGCCATAGGTTAGATAAAGAGCAGTGCTGTTTCAGCGCACCGTGCCACATATGATAAAGGTGCCTTTTTTATCTCTAGGTGTTATGTGCTGGTAGCACATTAAAAAAGAGTCGTACCAGCTCCGCACATACAAAAGTGTCGTACATTGATAAAGGTGCCTTTTTTATCTCTAGGTGTTATGTGCTGGTAGCACATTAAAAAAGAGTCGTACCAGCTCCGCACATACAAAAGTGTTATACATGTGCGACCCATCACTAGGAGGTAGTCGATAAAGAAGGGACCGTTCCAGGAGGGATTTTCGGTGCGATTTAACAATAAACCAATAATCAATAAACAATGTAATACACAAAACGCTAAATACCGGCAACCAATCCTTTTTAAAAACTACACTGTAACTAAAACAATGAATAGAGAAAACATACAACCAATCTTATTGTGTTTTATTACTTAATCTTCTCTCCTCACTCCATTGGCACTCCACCTATTTAGAAGCGAACTACACCTTTTGGCCAAGCTTGACAACATTGCTTGCGCTGTCAAGATATAAATTAAGTTCGCGCGATTATTTAAATCGCCTTGAGTTACTGCCGTTTTCATGAGTATGGGGTACCCCCACCCCGTGCCCATCATATAAAATAAAAGTAAATTTGTTTCTTAACACTACAAAAACAACTTGGGGCTATTTCAATCTTGCAAACAAAATAAATCACAAAACTTTTTATAAAAAATTTTGGATAATTTATTATATATTATTTTTGCATCAAAAATTGTCAAATATATTCCTTTTTTATTAGGCATTAAATAAAAAAACTCAAGTAATATTTTATAAAAGTACCTAGAGATAATTTTAATAATTCATAATTGTAGATTAGACAAGAGAATTTTTGTCTTGTCCTCAACTGACTACTTTTATAAAATATTGCTTGCTTCTCTTTTCTTTAATGTATAGCATAATAAAAGATTAATATATTTGACAATTTTAAAGCCAAAATAATGTATAATAAATTACCTACAATATTTTTTATAAAAACAGTTTTATGATTTGGTAAAGGTAAGTAATACTTCAGACTTTTTTTTAGACATTTCTTATTATTCAGTTCAGCAGTTTCGATTATTCTGACGATTTACTCGTGCTGTCAAAAGTAGCTGCCAACTCAATAATTTTTTGTTTGGCCCTTTTACGTCTTCTTTTGTTACGAATGGCAGTGACAAGTTGCCCCAAACCATTCCTAAAACCATCGTCGACACTTGTACTGGTTTGTTTTACAAGATACTTGTTTAAGTTAGAAAGGTACTGTTCAGTCACATTTTTTAAACAGGACTTTCGCCTCTTGGGATTAATCTGTTGCAGCAGAAGCCCATTTTGCTGCCTAAGTTGTGCAGGACTTTCTGCTCTAGATGTGGATGGTTTATTATTTTGTAGTTTTGGTAATTCTGCATTGCCTTGTTCCTTGGCCGGGATTATAACGTCAATACTTTTCCATGGATGCGTGTTACTGGGTTCTTTATTTTCCACTGGCAACTCTTCCAACTCTCCAAAGTTCGTGTCCAAGAACTCATTTATGTCCATGGACTCATTTTGTAAAATTTGCAAATCTTCTTTCCTAACCTGCCCATCATTACTGCTCCTTTTAAAATTAGTACACCGCCTAAAATAACACGGCATATTTTTCATCATAGAATTACTTTCTGGGCTGAACGTAGGGGTCCAAAAATCCCATCAAGTCCATATAGACCCATGGCTACTTACTAAGGCCTTCTAATATAAGGAAATTTTCTATGGTGAAACACCATTCTTCATAGTTTTCACGGCCTTGTAGCTTTAAAATTGTGGACAAATAGTTGGCTGCCATTTTCGAACTGGAGAACTAACAACAAATCGCGTTTACCCACACAACTGTACTGTCTTTTATAAAAAAAACTAACAGAGTCGTTTTATTAGAAAAACCGAATAAACTCGCGTACTGGCTTTGGATTTACCTTATTATATCGCCCTGGGCCCATAACCTGTTGAATTAGGATGGAAAAACTGTTAATAAGGCGAACGAAATAAAACTCTACGGTTCGGTTTAGCATCGTCAGGAAAAACTGACTAACTTGTTTATTATAAAGTTGTTATTAACAACTTGTTTATTAACAAGTTTTATTAGACGTACTTGTGCCAAGATGTCTCATTACTTTAATCGCAAAGAAAATCGGTAAAAAGTTTTTGCTCCATGGAGAAAGAAGATTGTTTTTGGGAAGAAAAAAGTAGATTTTTTCCATTTAAATGAAAAACATGTTCATCTCATCAAAATTCTATTTTTTCGTTGTCTGACAGTAAGTTTCTCTTGAGCATATGCGTTACTTGCAGACTTACTTTAGCTGATCATGAGAAAGGTATTGTTAAAAGACATTTACTGGTGATGCCTAATTATAAAGACATTCAACTAATAAAAGTTACAAGAGGTTATGAGATCAGTCCACAAATATGCTATTGTTACATTTGTTTAATAGCCAGATTCATCGGCCACACAAAGGTTCACAAAGGTAGGAGTTACAAGCGTCAAAGTATTTGTAATAAAATCGAAGTATCCAATGGAATATATTTAGCTCAAAAATTACAAAGAATGAAAACAGAGTAGATAATGCAATACAATTATAAGCTTAATGGCAACTACGAAATTAAAATTATGGCAGTTGGTGTCCAAGGATTCTTTAAGATTTGCATGACAATCCTTCCAGAAAATTATACATCCGAATCTAATAAATCTCAGAATAATCAGAGTAGTGATAAAGAAGATAATTTTGAATCTCCTATAAAAAAGAACTCTATTCGGAAGGTGGCAGTGCAGGCCACAAAGCAAAATTGACAAGCGTCCATCGCTTAATAATGCTGTGCATTGTACCTGACATTCAAGAAATATATGATAATATGAAGCTACTCTTTGAATTGAATAACATTAATAATATACCGTTTAAATTCGTATCGGACTTTAAACTTCTTTTGATTGTCAATGGCCAACAAACGTCAACATGCTGTTGTCCTTATTGCTTCATAACTGTGTAAATTAAAAAGGTATATTAGTGCAGGAGCTGATGAAATACCTTCAACTATTTTAATCCAGAGTAGATGTACCTTGACTACACCGTTGTCTTTGTTATTTAATTTATCTTTAAGAACATGTATTTACCCAGATCTTTGGAAACAAAATTTAATTATACCATTGTTTAAAAACGGTCATAAATCTAATGTTCAAAATTATAGACCTATAGCTAAGATTTCATTGATACCAAAATTATTTGATAAAATTGTAACTTCGAAATTTACGCCTATCTTTAAACATTTAATTATAGAGGAACAGCATGGTTTTTGTAAAGGAAAATCTACTGTAACCAATTTAGCATTGTACACTGAGGACTTATTAAATATCTTGGAGAATCAGGGGCAAATCGATGCAGTCTATACTGACTTCTCGAGGGCGTTCGACAAAGTACCTCACGATATTTTGTTAGCTAAGATGAAAGCCTTGGGTCTTGGCGAAAATTTATGTTCAAGGTTGAAAAGCTACCTCTTTAATAGAACTGAAACAGTCATCTTGAATAATCAGCATAGGTCTAAAACAATTTCCATAACCTCTGGTGTTCCACAAGGAGGTCATCTGTCTCCTTTGTTGTTCAATTGTTATATTAATGATATATGCAGCAATGTAAAATATTGTAAGTTTTTATTATTTGATTTAAAGCTTTATTCACAAATTAACTGTATTAACGACTGTCTTAATGTACAATCCGATTTAAATGTTCTAAGAAAGTGGTGTGATATTAATTGTATGCAGTTAAACATTTCTAAGTGTAAGGTAATGCGGTTCTCCCGATTAAAACAGAGCATTTTATTTTCATATGTAATGAATTACGTTGAATTAGAGTCTGTGAATTGTAATAAAGATTTGGAGGTATATTTTGATGTTAAAATTTCATTTAATTACCACATTGATGTTATAAAAAATAGGGCATTAAAAATGTTGGGATATGTTAAAAGATCAACTAAAGATTTCTGTGATGTTAAATTTATTAAAGTAGTTATATGTCTTTTGTCAGAAGTATCCTGGAATATGCTAATATTATATGGTCGCCCAATTATCATATACATATAAATAAACTGGAAAATGTCCAAAATTAATTTTTAAGATATTGTGCCTTTAAGACATCTATACCTACAGATAATTTGGTTTACCCTCAGTTAAGAAGTCAATTAAACCTTAAAACGCTTGAATGTAGAAGACTAGAAAATGAACTTATATTTTTATTTTAACTCTTACATAAATTGTCCCTATTTACTTAGCAAACTGAACTTTCATGTTCCTAAACGAACTATGTTTTACCTCTCAACTCATAATACAAATTACGGCCACTTTATGCTTATCGACAGAATATGTAAAACTGCCAACAATTTAAATTTGTCATTTTTTAATGTTACTTTACAAACATTTAAATCTGAACTTAAACTAAATCTGCAATTGTGATTTATTTATTTACTGTGTATACACGTTGTATTTATTATTTTTATACATATTCTATATTTTGTCATGGATTTTCTTTCCGTTAATAAATTTATTATTATTATTATTATTATTATTATTAAACGATCTAAGAAATTCTGAGAGCGGAAATAATAGCGGGGAGCACAATATTGAGACGGATGCAGATGAAAGAAAATTATGCAGTGGATTTGAAACTCTAAAGACTTACGAAGGCAGATTCCTTTTCCTCGATGCACAAGAAAAAGAAAAATGCTAAGTGTTTGCACAGTACTGTTAATCTGCCTCTTTTTGCCGAAGATGATTGAAAAGTGCATTTTTGGGATGGCTTAGTTCCTCTTCTTGGTCAAGAGAAAGCTTTCTTATGGCCGAAAAAATTAAAAGTTATTGCTAAAAACTACCATGGTGAGATATTTGAAGGTAATGCTTGCAGAAAACTTTTGAAAAAGACTTAATTTGTTAAATGATGCGACTGTTCAACTGAGGTTAAAGAATGCTGTCGTGGAATTTTCATAATTAAAGTTTTTAATTTTGTTTTTGAGATTGTGTTTTAAGTTTTTTAAGTAGTTAATAGTACTAATATTATATAGAAAATAAAAATGTATTTTAAAAAGATGTTGCATATTTTATGTTAAGATATATGAATATTTTAAATTTAATAAAAAATCCTGTGAATGCTTATGTATATTTATCGAGCATTCATTATATCCAGAAGAACTCTTGATAATCAAGACCTGATTTGATTTTAGTATACACATACACACACATACAAAAGTACACTCTCTCGAGCGCCTGACGCTCATCTTCAATATTGAGATATTCGTGCAGATTTCGAAAAAAAGAGCTGATCCGATTTTATTAAGATTTTTTATTCTAGACGTAAATACGTGGTCAGTTTTTGTCTTCATTTTTATAAAATCTACAGGTCGTTCAGGAACACTGTGCACTAGTTTACAGCCATTTTGCCCACCATATCTCACTATAATTTTCTTGTGTAGTTTGGCTCACTAAACGCGAAAATCACACAATTTTTTTTCATGGAAGCGTTTTAGAGATATGAATTTTCGATTTTCTGAGGTGTTTTGACGTTTTAGAGTATACTTCGAGTTCTTATTGATAGATTTAACCAAACAATCACTTAAATTAAAGGTAATTGAGCCCTCTACAACTTTTTGTTGTATAGTTTTTTTATCGGCTCAGTAGTTCGATACCGGCGATTTTATGAAATTGAAAAGTCCTTTTTTTTAAATCGAGGTTACATGTCTTTCTGAAAAAGATATAAACCGAAAAGATAATTCCAGGTTGATTTATTTTACGTATAGATTATACTTAAAGAAAAATAAATAAGCTGCTGTTTATAAAAATCCATGGATAAATGGCGAAGTTATAAATTTTTCAGTAGAAGAGCAAAATTCAGTTTTTCGAGAATTTTTACGTTTTTTCTTCATTTTATTGAATTATATAAAATTTAATATTGAACATTGATTTGTATTTCAAACATTAAATATTGAAATTAAATTATATATTGAATATTAAACAATAAATATTGAATATTGAGGAAATTGAAAGTTTTATTTTGTTTCAATAAGCATAGGTTTAAAAAAATTCTGGCTCCACAATTCAAAATTCCGTAAAACGAGCACAAATGTGCATCAACTCAGGAGGTGGTCATTTGATCGATATCATTTTTTTAACAATGTCATCAATTTTACACCTTTAATTAAACTTTCCGTTAAAACAGAGCCCAATTTTTTTTATTTCGAACAAAATGGCAGCAAATTTACATTACGACATTACTTTTGCCCCACCTTGTACATATTACAAAATAAAAGAAAAAAACAAAATAAAAATTGTCAAAAAGTTGAATTTTGGTCTTCCAATAAAAAATTCTTAACTTCGCCATTTTTTCATGTATTTTTATCAACATTAGCTTGTTTTTTTTGTAAAAATGTCATGTTCACGAAAAAAAAATTCAAAAAAACGAATTTTTAAAGTTATTAAAATCGCTAGCGTTCAAATACTTATCCGATATCAAAAGTATGTAAAAGAAAGTTTTATATTTCAAAAAGGCTTCCATAAAAAAAAATTGAGTGTGATTTTCGTGTTTAGTAAGTCAAAATACATGGGAA